CTTTCTGATAACAAAAAACAGATAGTATTTTTTAGTGACTGACACTTATCTTTCCAGCAGTTTGTGATGACCCTATATTCTTTTATTTGTGTTTTCTCATCATAAGAAATTCTGAGTGAAATAACATAGGCTGTTTTTCTTGCTTTAACTACTGCTGATTTATTAATCTGTGGGATAATAATTCTCTGGTGTCTTGCGTAATCTTGGCATTTCCCCTGATAAAACCTGTGATACTTGTTCTTCTGCTACTAAAAACACACCCAACTGTGTTGTGACCTATGGCTGTGAAAACTGCAGCAGGGGGAATCCAAGAAGGGAAAAACTCAACCAAATTCCCACTGAAGTTCTTGTTAAACTTGAGGTCTCATGCAGGCCAAAATCAGATCTCACAGACCATAGATATTTCTAGGATATAACCTATGGTTAGCTGTTCTAAAAGAGCCACTATATTGAATGAATAATGCAGCATACAAACTGCTTTTCCACATCGCCTTTGTAGGGCCAGAAAGGAAGGAGCATAGCAGCATACAGTATCATATGCATCTCAATGTTCTTTGGACCAAGAGGCAGAGCACCCACTACAATTTCTTTGAGTCAGCAGGCTTTGTAGTCATGGAGGTAGAGTAAAAGGAGGGATTTAAGCAGATCACAAAGCACACCATGACTCCTGCTCTTCATGAAGCTTTGGAGTGTTCTCAAGGAAGATGAGGATTAAATGGGCAAAGGCCTTTAAATATTCTCTCATGTAAAGGAATGGAATTAAGTCCACAAAAGTAATTTGCTTGGAATATTAACCTGGGAAAAGGGAGATACGTTTGAACTCTCTTGTGGCAGAAAAGAAACTGAACCCGGATCATTTACAACCAGATTACCCTAACCATGAGTAATTTTAAATAAAAAGAGAGAACTGGGATTTCTTCTCCAGCTGCGCTTGTCACAAGCCTTGATCTTGTAATTGTGCTCTTAGGATATCTACAGGATGAGACAAGTAGGAATTGGACTTAGGAATAAGAAAGCTAGATGAACAACTTAAATTTCAAATATGTTGCATTTATAAATATCTAACACATAATATTTACATTATAAATTAGCGTACATTTATATTAAATAAGAATGGCATATGTGATGCAGAAATCTATAAAAATAAACTAAAATAAAGTAAAAGTATAATGTGTGATCAAAATGCCTAATGCTGTGTCTGGTCAGACTCTGGATAAACTGACCCACCTGCAGGTCCATCCTGCCCACTCCATACCCATGCCATTAGTAGTCACAGAATCATAGAATCATTAAGGTTGAAAAAGACTTCCAAGATCACTGAGTCCAACAGTCCACCTACCATCAATATTGACCAGAAAACCGTGTTCCTTACATCTACATGTTTCTTGAACACCTCCAGGAACTCAGGCACCTCCCTGGGCAGACTGTTCTAATGCATGACCACTCTTTCAGAGAAGAAGCTTTTCCTAATATCCAACCTGTACCACCTCTGGCACAACTTGAGGCCATTCCCTCTCGTCCTACTGCTAGCTGCACAGGAGGAGAGACCAACCCCTACCACATCACAACCTCCTTTCAGGTAGCTGTAGAGAGTAATAATGTCTTCGCTCAGCCTCCTCCTTTCCAGACTGAACAAACCCAGATTTTTCATCCATTCCTCGTAAGACTTGTGCTCCAGACCCCTCATCAGCTTCATTGCCCTTCTCTGGACACGCTCCAGGGCCTCAGTGTCTTTCTTGTAGTGAGGAGCCCAAAACTGAACAGAGTACTGAAGATGTGGCCTCACCAGAGTTGAGTACAGGGGGATGATCACGTTCCTGCTCCTGCTGGCAACACTATTTCTGATGCAAGCCAGGATGCTACTGGCCTTCTTGGCCACCTGGGCACACTGCTGGCTCATGTTCAGCCAAGTGTCAACCAACACTCCCAGGTCCTTTTCCTCTACATAGTCTTCCAGCCACTCTGGCCCAAGCCTGTAGAATTGCCTGGGGTTGTGGTGACCAAAGTGCAGGACCCAGCATTTAGTCTTGTTAACTCCATCTCATTGGCCTCAGCCCAGCTATACAGCCTGTCCAGATCCCTCTGTAGGGCCTTCCTACCCTCAAGCTGATAGATACTTCCTTCCAACTTGGTGTCATCTGCAAACTTATGGAGAGTGTGCTCAATGCTCTCATCCAGACAATCAATAATGATATTAAACAGGATAGGCTACAATACTGATCCCTGGAGAACACCACTTGTGACCGATTGCCAGATGGACTTAACTCCATTCACCACCACTCTCTGGGCCTGGTCCTCCAGCCAGTTCTTTACCCAGCAAAGAGTGTACCTGCCCAAGCCACAGGCTGCCAGCTTCTCCAGGAGAATACTGTGGGAGACAGTGTCAAAGGCTTTGCTCAACAGCCTCTCCCTCATCCACCAGGCAAATCACCTGGTCATAGAAAGAGATGAGGTTGGTCAAGTAGAACCTGCCCTTCATTAACCCATGCTAGCTGGCCCTGATGGCCTGGATGTCCCACACATGCTGTGTAATCTCACTCAAGGTGATCTGTTCTATAATTTTCCATGGCACTGAGGTCAGGCTGACATGTGTGTCATTCCCTACATCCTTATTCCCAACCCTTCTTGTAGTCATGCTGGCACGCCTCCAATCCCCTGACCTCTCTGGTTGACCAGATATGTGGACAGAGGGTAAAAAGTGGCCTGGCAATCACCTCCGCCAGCTCTCTTCAGGTGGGTATCATCTGGCCCAATGGACATGACTAGAATGTCTCTAATTGTCTCATTCTAGGCCACCCATCTCAGACTTACCAGACTTCCATGTCAGGGGGTAGAGTACCTCAAAGATAACTGGTTTGATTATTAAGACAGATGTCAAGATGGCGTTCAGAACCTCATCCTTTTCCTTATCCTCAGTGGTCATGTTCCTTATTGCAATCCAATAAAGAATGGAGGTTGTCCTTAGCCTTCCTCTTAATGTTCATGTATTTGTAAAAACAAATTTTGTTGTCTTTTATTACAGTGGCCAGTCTGAATTCAGGCTTGGCTTTTGCCTTTCTAATTTTCTCCATGCATATCCTAGCAAATTCTTTGTACTGTCCCCGAGTCCCTTCTTCCACAGGAGGTAGATTCTCTTTTCCTCCTAGTGTCTTAACAAAAGTTCTCTGTTCATCCCCATCGATATTCTTCCCTGCTGGCTCATATTACAGCACAAGGGGACAACCCGTTCCTGCAACTATAAGACTTCCCCCTTAAAAAGTAACCAACCTTCCTGGACCCCTTTGCCCTTCAGGACTGAATCTCAAAGGATCCTTCCCACCACTTTCCCAAACAGTTCAAAATCCACCCTCTGGAAGTCCAAGGTAGCAGTTTTGCTGACCCCTCTCCTTATTTCACCAAAAAATACACAATTCTACCATTTCATAGTCACTCTCCCCAAGGCAGCTCCCCAACCTCCACATCTCCACCAGTCCTTCTCTGATTGTGAACAGCAGGTCTAGTGGGGCACCTCTCCTGGTAGGCTCTCTTATAAGTTGTATCAGGAAGTTAACTTCCACACACTCTAGAAATCTCCTAGATTGATTCTTCTGTACTGTATTATATTTCCAGAATATATCAGAGAAGTTGAAGTCCCCTGTGAGAACAAGGGCTGGCGATTGGGGTGACCTCATTGCAGCCTTTCAATGCCAACAGGGAGCCTACAAACAGGAGGGGAGCCAACTCTTTGAAAGGCTAGATATCTGCAGGACAAGTGGAAATGGTTTTAAGTTGATGGAGGGAAGATTTAGGTTGGATGTCAGGGGGAAGTTCTTTACTATGAGAGTGGTGAGGTGCTGGAACAGGCTGGCCAGAGAGGTTGTGGATGCCCCGTGCCTGGAGGTGTTCAAGGCCAGGTTGGATGGGGCCCTGGGCAGCCTGGTCTAGTATTAAATGGGGAGGTTGGTGGCCCTGCCTGTGGCAGGGGGGTTGGAGATTCATGATCCTTGAGGTCCCTTCCAACCCTGGCCATTCTGTGATTCTGTGATTCTGTGATCACGCAACTTCTACCAGTTGCTGCCTTAGCTGCCCCAGAACCATGGTGATGTATCAGGTTGTGAGCTTCATAGGAATCCTCAAGTCCTGTAAGAACCAGGAATACAAAGATAACCTGAGAACCAAGTGTAAATCAGCAGCAATGCTGCGTTATTTATTAATACAGCCCTCCATTAGATGTGATGTTTGGAGCCTAACCAACCCAAACTGGTGGAAAACTGCAGGAGGTCGGGAAAGGTCAAACAAGAATTTGAGCAACGCTCACTCTGCATTCAGAGGAAGCTTAGATTAGACATAAGGAAGAACTTTTTCTCTCAGAGAGTGGTCAGGCACTGGAATGGCTGCCCAGGGAGGTGGTGGAGTCGCCGGCCCTGGCAGTGTTCAAGAGGCGTCTGGATGAGGAGCTACAAGATATGGTGTAGAGGCTTGTGGTAGCAGTGGTGATGGGAGGATGGTTGGACTAGATGATCCTGTAGGTCCTTTCCAACCTTGTGATTCCATGATTCTATGATTCTCAGTATTTTGTGAGAGGGTCAGGTTGGGGGTTAGGAAAAGGTTCTGCACCAGTGGGCACAGAAGGGGCCCTCGGGGCAGCGGGCGCGGCCCCGAGATACCGGAGCGCAAGGAGCGTTCGGACACCGCTCTCAAACACGGGGTTTGGGTGGTGCCGTGCGGAGCAGGGAGACGGACCGCATGACACACACGATCCGCGTGGCCGCTACGGTTCCGTGATTCTGCACATTCATACCGCTGCTTCTACAGAGAATTAAAACCTCTGCACGCCCATAGCTACACGCGCACCCGTAACGACGCGCGGCGCTCAGCGGGGCCGGGCCTCGTCGCCATGGCAACTGGAGCGGGAGGGGCGCAACCCGGAAGCGAACGCGCAGGGCGGCCCCGCGGCTCGCTCAGGCCCCGCCCTCTCCCTCTCGGCCCCCGTCGGGCGGGCCGCGCGGGGTGACGTGTCCGAGCGCCAGAAGCCGGAAGCGGCGGCCGCTCGAGGCGGGGGGCGACGCAGCAGCGACCGTTGGTGCCGCGGGCGCGCGCGAGGCGCCGAGGGAGTCGCCCCCCCTCCCTGCTTCCCTCCCCCCCTTCCTACCGCCGCCGCCGCCCGCCCGCGATGGCCCTGCGGCCGCTCCTCATCATCGTCGCCGCTCTGACGGCCACCGCGCCGCCTCGCCCCGCCGCCGGCTTCTACCTGCCGGGCCTGGCGCCCGTCAACTTCTGCGAGCCCTCCAAGGAGAAACCCGAGTGCAAGGTGAGCCCGCCGGGGCGGCCCGGAGCCGGGCGGCCGCGTTGAGGCGAGGAGGCCTCGGCGCCTCCCGCGCCACTGGGGCCCGCCTCGCTGCGCGGCCTGAGCCTGCCGGGCGTCCCGCCGCTCTTCTTCTCTCCTCTTGCTGCCTGGCTGTTGGCGGCACGAGGGCTGCCGCCCTGCGGCTCGAAGCGTGACGGTAACGCGTTAGTAGATCGCGGGGCTGCCGGCTCCTCTGCCGAGTTACTGTCATCTTACGGGAGCGGCCCGCCCATCTCCTGGCCCTTGTACGTGCTGCACCGAGCGAGCGTTTCCAGCTGGTCGTTGGTCAGAGGTTAGCAGCTGCTGGTTGCAGGTTGCAGGCAGGTAACCAGCCAGGGTGAGCGTGCAGTGACAGCTGTGTCTTCCTGGCTGTCAGGAGTCTGCAGCACAGAGCTGCCCCATCCCAGGCACCCTGATCCCAAACTCTCAGTGATGTTTAAAGTTATTTTCAGTACCTAAAGGAAGCCTACAAACAGGAGAGGAATCAACTCTTTGAAAGGGTAGATAACTGCAGGACAAGCGGAAATGGTTTTAAGTTGAGGGAGGGAAGATTTAGGTGGGATATCAGGGGGAAGTTCTTTACATACTGACTTACTGGTGAAAAAACTTCACTTAACCGAATAGCATATTTGTGAGGATGCTGGTTAATAGGGGTGTGTTCTTAAGGCAGTTTTTGCTCCTTTGGGTGAGCTTTAGAAGCTGCTTGCTGTTGTTATGACAGAAATGGTAGCAGCTGTACTTTTCTCATTTTTCTCAAGTGTGTTGTTTAATTCTGACTGGTCAAATCCTTTTCTAAGCACGTAACCATGGATTCCTTCAGTTTTCTTTCCACACTGCTTCTGTCATGGCACCAGAATGCTCTGTGGATGTTGTTTTCTGGGATCATAGAAGTAGTGTTTGAAAGCGAACTGAGGAGATCACAGAGCACAACTTTTATTCAAGAAGCAAGACTGCTGCCAGCACAAGACCTGGTCAGCTCTGCCTTTGTTTAAGCAAGCCTTGAAAACTTCCAAGGACAGTGCATCCACCACCTGCTACAGTGTTATGCTGCCCTCCTGACGAAATATTTTTCTTCACCTACAGGTGAAAGTTTTCAAGCTGCACTCTGTAGTTCTTCAGAGCATCCCTGAAAAACACTGGTGTTTTTAAATTATTCCTGGTTTAGGCTAGGATTGTGTTAGAAGATTTTTAAGCAAAGCAGGTTGTCTGCTGTCCTTTCGTTATACCTAAGATGCTTATGGAGTGATGCTGCTCAGGGCATCGTTGCTTTATTTCTTTTTTGCCCCTCATGCAGTGTCCACAAAATGTTTGAATCCTTATCCTGAAAATGTATCACTTTATAAACGTGTGATTGGACAGTTAATATAAATCTGTCACCAGTGGCTAGCTGTACATTTTAGGATAATCTCATCAGCTGTATTATTCTGAAAATCTATTTCTGAGTTAAGCCACTTCTTGTTATTCCTCTACCTTGTGCCAGCCAGGTTATGTACAGAGTGAGATAGGGGCATGTAGTAAGTCTGAATTATTCTTTCAGTTGAATTGCCCCCATTTAGTGTAGTGTGTGGTGAGGAAAAGATAGTACACGATGAGATAATTGCCATAGCATAATATTTATCTAAGTGGGTACAATTAAGCTTCCTTGTACAGCATTAATTTTTCATGTATTCTAGCTGAGTTCTTAGAGTTGCCACCGTTGATTCAGTAATACTGAGTTCTCCCCCATGTGAAATTTAGGTCTACAGGCCGCATCTCCAAATAGTCCTGTTTGTCTGTTATGCTCTCTGTGGATCTCCTGTTCTCTCTTGGTGAGGTGGGATGTGATGCTGTTAAGTGGGGCACACACCCATAGCAGCACAAGAACGATGAGACTCACAACTTCTCCACCTTCCTCTTGATCAAAGTCAGTTTAGTTGCTTTTCCTTACTTCTGGTTGGAGTATAGTCAGAAGTTGGATGTGATCTGTGCAGACTGAAGTAACTCTTCCCTGAATATTAAGAGTCCTTTCTGTGTTTGAAAGCATTTGTATATGTGTGTTTGTGTGTGTATGTATGTATATATATATGTATATGTGTATTCTTTCTCTTTTTTTGTGCCATGCCTCTATAAGCCACAGTAACTCACTAACAGCAGAAAATTAGTCTGGCATATATACATGACAAGGGTACACAAGCAGAGGTGAGCAGCAAGACTGCATGGCTTAGGACACTGGAAGAAGGAGTGGTAACGTGTGTTTCACTGACTAAGTCAATGTAACAGTCCACAGCTGCCTTCCTCCCTTGGATCTGCATCCTAAGTAGCCCATGGACAGGAACAGTGTATCAGTCAGGCACAGTACCGGGCTGAAGTATCTGAGCATCAATGAATGTGAACAATTCCGTGTTTTTTCTCCAGAATGTCTTGTTTTGGCTAATTGAGAATGACTTTGCATGAGAAAGTCGTCTTTTATGTGAGAAAATAGATGGCTTGCTGTTGAGAGAGGGGTCTTGCTCCTTAATGCATTCCCTTTCCTGTCTCCAGCTCTTACCTAACTGCACGGTAAGATGGGTCAGTTTGCTTTGCTGCTAAAAAAAATGCCTTTATAAAAGTTTTCTTGGATAAGATTTGGCTTGGGTTTTGTTTTTCTTGTTATTTTCACCATGTAAATGGATTTGCAAGTGCAAGTAGATAAATGCCAAAACGAGCTTAAGTTAAGCAGTTGAAATATAGAAGGACTGTGGGACTAGCTTAAGAGAAGAGGTTTTGGTACTAAGGGAGAAGAGAGAGACCTCTCATTAGCAGTAGCTCACTCCATCTTAAATTAATGTGAGTAGACCACACTTTCATCTGACAGCAGACTGGATTTCAGGTTCTTACCCAGAATTTGTTGGAGTTGTTGATTAACCTTTATAAAAGGTGAATGTAGATATCCTTGCCATGTCTTTGGAAAACACTGCTTTTCAAACTTAAAATAGCATATCAATTTTTTGTTTAAATCACCACAGCTGAGTTTTTGGTTGCTTCAGAAATGAAATTGTGGACCAGTACACATGTACTGACCTGATCCCTGCTCTTCACCGTATCCTTTTAAGACTAGTTGTGCAGAACTTACGATGATGGCTAAGATGGCTCCAGCTGCTGCATTAAACTAAAACTGGCAACTGTGATAACTGTATTATTCTTGTATCTGATTTCTTGCTATCTTGTAGTCTGTATGCTTATGTTAGCCTTCAAGTGGTTTTGTCATGTGGTCTCTGTTTTTCTCGTGATTAGATATCTGCCAGGCCCGTAAATTAAATGCTATCATTCATTATATGAGAATCTGCATTTCAAGATACGCAGTTGCGTAATTCTCATCTGTCCAGTGTGAGACTTTCATTTACCTTATTGACACAAGCCTATATATGTGTGTATATACATGTATATAAAACATATATGAGAACAGATGAAATATAATCAGTGACTATCTTGATTCTTTCAGTCTGGAATCGAGCTGTTTGTGAACAGGCTTGACTCTGTAGAGTCTGTCCTTCCCTACGAATATACTGCGTAAGTATCTTGTACTGTATGTATCGTTCTGGTTTTCGTTTCTTCCAACAAGATGAATTGCTTTTATCTTTAAGTGTTATTAGTGCTTTGATATAGCTGTTTGCAAACGAGGAATGTCCATTTTTTTTTCCATTTTAGTTTTTATTTTTCCATTTTTGCTTTTTGTTTCCGTTTTTTAATTAAACGATTTGCGAATCTCGAATGAGTTTCCAAGAAATGGGTTCTTCGTTCCCTATTTCTTGGTTTTCATTGCAGATTCTCTCCCTATCTCTCTCTCTCTCTCTCTTGTAATTTTATAGGGCAAAGTATTACTGCTGTCTTTAGTAGCCTATGCCAGATGAGTTAAAGTGGTAACGAGGTGTGAACTTTCCATCAATTATCTTAATGAGGTGTTAAATGCTTTCTCGGTATTCATCGTGGGAGTACACAAAATATGTCTGTGCTCTGTACAAATAAGTAAAGTTGTTGCTTCGAAAAATACTTTGCTATTTCATATCGAAGAGATCAAGCACTAGATTTATCCACATCTTAATGAATACAACCACGAGACATTGAAGTTCGGAAGAACATGGAAGGTGTGCTATTAAAAGATTCGGTGACTGAAAGTGTTGTAACTTTTTTATTTAATGGCATTGTTGTGAAGCAGCTCTTTGATGGTTTTGTTTTATTATTTTCTGCCAAGAATCTGGTTTGCATGCTTTTTTTTTTTTTTTTTTGGCTGTCATGACATGATGTGAAGGCTTAATTCCTGGCTAAAATTCCTGCACAGATGGGAAACCTGCAACTACTAAAGGAAACATTTATTCTCCTCTAATTAATATAAACTGAGTTCTGAAATAGCCAATCGAGAGGCTTGACTTCAGGGCTTTTCTTGTTCCTTCTGATACCAGAAGAATCGAGAAACTGTCTAAGAGTCAAGGTGGAGTGCTAGAAAGTAGGTGTCCTTTAATAATAGCACTGGGTGTGTGGGGGGTGCTCTCCTCCAGTCGCGCATGTCTTGCATGAAAAAGGTCTTCAGTTTCTGTACATTCAGAGGCCTTTCCTGGAGCCCTTCCCTACACATTCCGTAAGATACAAAGTCTCTCAGGTACCTCTCTTATCTATTCAGTACAAAGAAGCAGACCCTTCTCACTGTCTAAACAAAGGTTATCTGTTAAGGGATTTATCAAGCTGCAACTTGTATCACTTCCCCCAAATTGGGCTGTGATTTTCACACTTCACAGATTCAAATAAAAAACTGTTGTATCTATAGTTCCTTTACTTGTGATGATGGTTTTGATTTGGGGTACTGTATTGGGTCTGACATTTACGTCTACTAAATTTTATTAATTTTGCTATCTTTTCTATAATTCAGCTTTGATTTCTGTCAAGCAGAAGGAAAGAAACGTCCGTCTGAAAACCTTGGCCAAGTGTTGTTTGGAGAGAGGATAGAACCGTCTCCTTACAGGGTTTGTTCTGTGAAAAGGGCTTTTATTAATACTTATAATCCAGTGTAACCAAAAGAGGTCAGAATCTTGAAGATCCTTTCATTAGGGCTTTTTAGGATTTCAATATCCGAAATTCCACATAATAGAAATCTGTCATTTAACCTAACTTTGCATAGGATCATAGAATCACTCAGGTTGGAAACCTTAAAGATCATTGAGTCCAACCACAACCCAACCATACTACCCTAACTCTAACAACCCACTGCTAAATCATGTCCCTGAGCACCACATCCAAATGGTTTTTAAACACATCCAGGGATGGTGACTCAATCACCTCCCTGGGGAGCCTATTCCAGTGCTTAACAACCCTTTCTGTAAAGAAGTGTTTCTTGATATCCAGCCTAAACTTATCCTGGCACAACTTGAGGCCATTTCCCTTCATCCTGTTACCAGTGAGAAGAGACCTACCCTGCTTGTAAAGCATGTGCCCTGAAATACTGTGAAGGTTTTCTTCTGTCTTTGGAACCTCACTTCTCAGCTGAAATTTCTCTCTTGTTAGAGGAAATTGAGTACTCTTACTCTTGAAAACCAGGTCCAAAAATTGGGATCTTACAATGTGCTTTAAGATCACAAAGGGATTTTATAGTACATGCCAATATGAAAAGCTCCTCTGTAATGTCAGTGTATATGGTCTTGATAATTCTTTTTATTATACTAGCATACACAGTAATAAGTATATGGGGGAAAACTTGTTAAACTCTGAAATTGCAGAAACATGCTTTTACTAATCTTTCTTCATATGTATTTCATTTTTGTAGTTCACGTTCAACAAGAAGGAGACATGTAAAGCTGTTTGTACAAAAACATATGATACCAAAAAGCCAGAGGATAAGCAGAAATTAGATTTTTTGAAAAAAAGTATGCTACTGAATTATCAGCATCATTGGTAAGTTGACATCACTTCATGGATTGGTTAGTCTAATATATTGTTGATAATTAATCATAGAATCACAGAATGGCGTAGGTTGAAAAGGACCACAAAGATCATCTGGTTTCAATCCCCCTGCTATGCGCAGGGTCACCCACCACCAGACCAGGCTGCCCAGAGCCACATCCAGCCTGGCCTTGAATGCCTCCAGGGATGGGGCATCCACAGCCTCCTTGGGCAACCTGTTCCAGTGCATCACCACCCTCTGTGTGAAAAACTTCCTCCTAATATCTAACCTAAACCTAAATTAATGTAGTTGGTTGTTTTGTATTTGCATGTTAATACAGATTCAACGTGAGGCTTTTGCACTAAATCCACTACCATCCTGTTTTTGCAAAAAAATGTTGCCTTAATGTATTCATTTATTTATTTTTACTTAAGAGCACACACCAAGAATGAGTGCTTCCTCCATGGAAACAAGTATGTTTCCAAACATAGCATGTGATTATTTTTTTTTTCTGCTGGTTGCTCACTGTAAAGTACTGCAATTTCTTTGCACCTGTAGGTGTAGAAATTGGTTGGAGGTAAAAATTGAAACTTTCAGTCTATTTTTAGGTCATCTTTATTCTCTTCAGAAGCCTTTGCACTCTCTTTGTAATGTTTTGCCCAAGAGATGGGATCAGTAGTTCGGAGTGTACGAAGTTTCTTTTTTGTATAGGATATGGAAGCAAAGGGTGGCCAGTGAAAATGAGCTCATTAACTTGAGGAACACGTATACAGTGAATCTTTTTCTGATCTCTGAGACCCTATGTAACAGATACAAAAAATAAAACAAAACTGGAAAAAAAAAAAAAACATCTAAATTATCTTGGAATGTGCTGGGGCTCTGTTTCTGCTTGGATGTTGAGGTTCTCTTCTGATGGTTCATAAGGTTGAGGCCATATGGGGTGTATATGCTGAAGTGATGCTGATTTTTTTACTTAGGACTTAGCCATGCTCTGCACCAAAATCCAGGAGCTGGGAAACGTTTATCTGCAGGTTCTGTGTAGATGTTATAGATATATACATGGATATTTCTGTCTGTAGTGCTTTGTATGTTGGTGTTCTGTGCTAACAGCAGCCTTTAGGTGCGAGTGTAGAAGGAACAACTTAGGCATTAAGTTATCTGAGCTTTCACTTTGGCATGTCTTTGGAATAAGCATAATTAATATTGCCCAGAAGATTCCAAATACGTACTGTCTGCTTCACTGAAACAAAAACTGGTTTTCATCTAATTAAATCAAAAGATTCTGAATATATTAGTAAGAAAGCAGGTGAAATGTTGAATGTTGCCATTGTCACTAGATGTTTTTCCTCTAATACCTCATTTTGTTTGTTCAGTTTCAGTGCAGCCATCCATAGTGAATAGGCAGTGAGTGCTTTTTCTGCTGTTTTTGGAAGCTGATGCTGTACTGTCTAGGGGTAGACTGTCTCACTGATCTGGATCTTCTTGGAAATCTCTTGAAAGTCAGTGAGGTTGCAAGCTGATAAACTAGATGAGAGGTTCACAGGCAGCAGCTCGTGTTTAGTGAACAAGGGAGTAAATAAGAGCTCTGAAAGATGCAGCTGTTTTTGCAGGGATTTGTAGTGTATACGTCTAATGCTGCAATAAGTGGGTCTTCAAAGATACTTCATTTGGTTATATTCCTTTTAAATCTTGCAGGTGTTTATAAAATTTGCATCACTTTGAATTTCACTGGTTAGTCTTGGTGTGGCATAATGCTTAACCTTTAAAGTCTGTCTGTGTTTTGGTGTGTACATGAAAAATGAAATGAAAAATTCCCCAAAGTTACGATCCTATCACAAAACCTGCTTGCATCAGGTCTCAAATCTACTTAGCATATTTAAGAATGTTTTTTAGCCTGTACCACAAACTTGATAAAGATATTTCAATTCAAATAAATGTTCATTTTTCAGTGGGAAAACTTCCCTTTCCAGTACTCTGAATTCTTATATTTTTAGTTACTTTAATAGCAAAATATTAAACAATTGAAGCACTAGTTCTACTGCTGCAAATCAGTAGCATGAAGTATCCATGTTTATGTCTGTTACAGTAATGACAGTCCCTCATCAACCACAGATCCACAGGGTAGAAGTGGCTGCATTTTGTGATTCAGAAGCGTAATATAGGATTCAGATACACAGGGATCAGCAAGGTGTAGCATAAGTGAGGGTTTGATAGAGGTTTATTATCAGGCTTCAGTGTGTCATAACATTTCAGGGGAACACAGATGGTGCAAAGTACTTGTAAGGTTTTCAAGGCCACTTAATAAGATTAGTAATTGACATACTGAATTGGACTCAACAGCAACGGTGATATCTTGTCTCACCATGTTCATCACCAGATGTTCTTGGAAGACATATAAGAATACTTGGATAGCTTATTTGCTCCTCGTGTATAATCTCTTCAAGTCATTTCAAATGTGAAGATTAACTCTGAAAAATGATTTGCTTCTTAAATTATCAATTTGCTCCAGCATTGCAGATTGAAGGCAGCTTTGTATGCCTTTGCTACAGAAGATGCAGGGGAAAACCTTTATCCCAACCAAAGTCATTTGCAGTAGGTTAATGTGTTACCTGTTATTTTGCTTTACAAAATGAAGGTGCAAACAAAACCAACCTCTTGCATATGTTATGGAGCTAGAATTTCAAATAAGAACCAAGTTGTAATGACTTGCACCTGGAATAGCTGCAAATCTGCAGTTTAATTGTGCCCTGTACAGCATGGCTAGGCAAGTCAGATTCGGTTGATGCTTCTGCTGTTCATTGCTCTGCTAGAGACTGAGAGCCTGCAAATTGTGGTTTTGAAAGGGGCTTTTTTAGAACTTCCTTCTGTTGTGTCAATATGAGTCAATATTGCTACCTAGCTCTGTATGGTAGCTAATGGTGGGGGTGATGCAGACCTCATTGTTTTATCAGCAAAGGCACCACATGTCACTTAGGAGTTCTTCATTGTTGGCTGAAGTCCTAGTTGTGTGTGAAGTACCTAATGAGACCTTAGCAGGTATCTGTTTACATTAACATCTTAGTAATCTTAAAGACTGTAATCTGGAAAAGCTTAATTGTAAAGAATATTCAGCAGCTTGATAAGTTTTACAAAAACGTGTCTTGTTAAGTTTATTAGATGTCCTCTTTTGGTTTGGCAATGCCCAAGAGTTGCATGTTGTCTCGTCTTCATGTGTGTCATTTACTAATTGAACCATACAAATATATTTGTGAGCAATTAACGGTGCTTTAAGGGTGGCTGCTGAATTTTAAATCTTCTTTGAATAAAGTGCTTTTGGGATTTATCTTCCAGCTAGTTAAAACACTTTGTGACATAAAGATGCACATTCTTAATGCTTTTCTTGTGCTAAAGGGGAATTGGGCATGATGAGTATCTCTCAATTTAAAAGTATGTTTTTAGTAGGTTTTGTTGTTTGTTTTTTTGATATGTATATGTACTATTTGCAGCATGTTGGATAGTATCTTAATGTCCCACTTTATTTTTGTGTAAAGCTTTTGATGTAGTCCCATGCAACTTTCTTGTCTCTAAATGGGAGAGAGAAGGTTTTGTGGGATTTCAGTGATAAGGAGTTGGCTGGATGGCCCCATCCAAAGGCTGACAGTTGATGGCTCAATGTCCAGGCAGACACTAGTGACATGTGATGTCCTTCAGGGGTCCATACTGGGACCGTTTAATATTTTTATTGTTTATATGGATAGTGGGATTGAGCATATCCTCAGAGAGTTTGCAGATGATACCAAGGTGTGTGGTGCAGTTAATGTTTTGGACTGAAAGGATGTCATCCAGGAGGAGTTTGAAAGGCTTGAAAGGTGGGCCTGTGTAAACCTCATGAGCCAAGTGCAGGGTCCCACACCTGGGGTGGTGCAATCCTAAACATAGATACGGGCTGGTTGGTGAGTGGATAGAGAGCAGCATGGGAAAGAACTTGAGATACTTCAAGCAGTGTCGAGAAACATGTATTTCTGAAGAGCAATTAGAAAGTTGGAGGATTAATAATGTATATTAATGTGTGAGCAGTTTTTTATTTTGTGTTTTTGTCTTGAAGAAACTGGAAGTGATCTGGTTCATTTTAGCTGCTTTCCTGGATGACTTGGGTTATTTTTAAAGAAAAAATAATGAAACAGTTCATTCCTGTGCTTTCAGAGTGAAAGAGCTTTATGATTTGATCTGTGTTTGTAAGGGCACTTTAGAAACTGGCTCAGTAAATAGAATGCTTTGGTGGTCACAGAGTAGGTTATCTATTTCCTACACACCTACCTATGGATTTGTCTATTTTTATTTGCATTATGCTGTATATTTTGAAAGGTGATGAAGTGTCAGTATATAATTCACAGGATTGTGGACAACATGCCTGTGACCTGGTGCTATGATGTTGAAGATGGCCAGAGGTTCTGCAATCCAGGCTTTCCCATTGGCTGTTACATTACAGAAGATGGCCGTCCAAAAGATGCCTGTGTTATTAATGTACGTTTGAGTTGGATTTTTTTTAATATCCTCTTTTTACTGTTCTAAAGAATTATATCTATGTCCTGTTTCTATGGTGAGTCCTTACTATCTTTGTTCCCCAAAAACTGACTGTTTTGATATATGTGCAGGTATTATAATCTTTAAGTCTCACCTCAGCTTGTCTAAGAACTGTCTCCTCTATTGTATAGTAGTAGAGAAAGGCTCAAAAAGATAGAGGAAAGAGAAGAATGTGAATAGTGCGTAGAATACAAGGAATGCAGGAGAAATACATTGTCCTTCATTGCCTGTGATGTCTAAACTTTGAAGGGCTTGAATTTTACATTACTGTGAGATGAAGTGTTTCATGGAAACAGTTTTCTACAGGCATTTTTCTCTGCATGGGAGCTAATCGTTCTTGAAGGAGTGTTTCTCTTAAAATGATGTGGACTAGTGGAAAAAGACATATAAGAATATTGAGTGAAGCTTCTCTTCCATGTCAGATGGGTCCTTTTGGATTAACTAGTGGAATTCCAGATAAATGCACTGTTAGTGTTATGGAGATAAGAATGCATTAAGAAATGTAAAATGTCTTTAGCTTATCCCAGACCTTTTCCACAGAGAGATGATGACTAAGAAGCAGGTCTTTTGTTTTACCTACCAGATTCTAATTTGGTTTCTTTTCTTGCACAACGAATTGATTTCACAGACTCCATATAACTGGATGGCTGAAATATATTTGTGATCAAATATATAATCTGGCAATATTTCTTAATCTTGTTTAAATATTTGTTTTTAATTTAAGAGTAATAACTTTTGAAGGAGTAATTGAAAGACTGTAGAAGAACACCTTAGAAAAATAAAAACCAGGCTTCTCATTAGAGCCCTTTGTAGAAAGGGGTGAGACAGAACACCCTGCCAAAGTACTAACAAAGCTGCAGTAAACATAAAGCTTTTAACAACCTGTTTAATGGACTGATTTTCAAACTGAAACATCCCTTCATCTGAGATGTCTATTCAACATATTGAATATTGTTTACGATGAATCTTTGGTTTTAAACGTGGAAATGGTTCAGTCACAGACAGCAATGATTTGCATTGTCTTAAAAGGTTTGGTTTAATCTATGACAAACATACACCGTGTTTTAAAAGAACTAATTGTTTATCGAACACATCTAGTTATGAAAGTTGTCACATGGCTGTCAATTCAGTTTGCTGCTTAAGCTGAGTAAAATGGAAACATTGTCAGTTCCTCTATGATCTCAGGTTCTGCTCTCAAACTGTAGTTCTGAGCTTTTTTTTTGAATGCAATAAAGTAATTCACTGTCTTTGTATTCCTGGAATTGTGCATGCATCTTGTTGGGAGAACTTGACAAGAAAACTATGCAGTATAAAATTAAATTTTGTAAGGCTTTCAAGTGTCTTTATCTTCTTGATTTTTTTAACTTTTTTTTTTTTATCATTTTAGTCAGAATTTCATGAAAAAGATACTTTTTATATCTTCAATCACGTTGACATAAAGATATATTACCATGTTGTGGAGAATGAAGCTCTGGGAGCAAGACTTGTTGCTGCTAAACTTGAACCAAAAAGGTCAGTATTAAGAAATAAGTTGTAGTTGATCAGTGATCCATCCCAGCACAATTGCTTTGGTTTGGAGAAATCTTTTCAGGTATGTGACGTGTACGTTAGCTTTCCTCTTGATTGATGGAGGATTGATGCAATCTTATTCTGAATTTTGTGTATCTTTGTGCAGTATTTCCTACGTGTGCCAAAAAAGATAAAATGGAACTGAGAAGTAATACGTGTTAAGTGAAGTAACCCTGGTAGAGAATGGTCTGTATCATCATCAGTGCCAAAGGCAGGAGTAATTAGAGTGCAAGTTTTGATGTCTTCAGCAATCAAGATCTGAATGCAGTGATAGCACAAATATAGCCATCAGCTGTTCTGGTGTCTGTGTGGCCTTTCCACACTGTTTTTATTATTACTGATGCTGTGTTTTATAGAGTGTGTTCCTCTGTAGTTATGTTTTAGGAAATATACTTTTGTGTAGACAGTTTGTGTCAAAATGTCCTCCATTTGTGACACGCTCCTGAAAGTTGAGGCATTAAGAAGTATTACAACGTTTAAGGGAAGAGTCGTGGATGAAATTGATGCTTGTATAAAATAAGCAAACGATATCTTAAAGCTGCTTCACTAACAACACCATTCATTCTGTGTTTTTTCTTCCTGCAGTTACAAGCATACTCATCCAGACAACCCTGATTGCTCAGGAGTGCCTATGGATATAAGCAATAAGGCCAATGGAGAAGTCAAAATTGCTTACACGTACTCAGTATCTTTTCAGGTGAGTGTTAAGGTTTTTTTTATGTTAATTACTTCTTAAGATAAAATCTTTTGTGTTAGCTATCTTTATAATTCTGATTACTAAGATTATTTCAGAACAGTACCTTTGTGGTTTAAAAACTTAATTTAAACTGAAGTGTGATTTGGGACCTAAATGCATGCCTTACAATTTTGCATACCTCCCCACGCACCCTGAAAAATGCATATGCAGCTTTTAAAAGAATCACACTTTCTATGTCTGTCTAGACTGTCTGGCAGATTTTTTTCTCACTCTAAGCTCCAACTCTGAGAAACTGTGCATTTTGGCAAATGAGTGGTGTAAGCAGTCCTACAGGAAAAGCTTTATTTTTTTCCCAAGGTCTTCTTCCCATATACATCTGTAGGAAACTAAGAAGCTGGTATTCTTCATCCCTCTATTCTCTGAAGGCACAGAAACAGTTCATTGGGCAAATGCAGGGAGCAGTGATGCTTAAATGTGTCTCAGTAGGATGAACAAGCAAGATGTACCTTTTAAAATGGAATTTCCTTAAAAAATAATAATAATAAAATGCCCAAGTATTAGTCCAAGACCTGTATTGTTTCTCTTATACAAATGGCATGCCCAGCTACATGTGTGTTTTACTGTCTTGTGCACAATGATATGTGACTTGGAGGTCTTCCTCTGGAATTCTGTCAGGTTAGTGGATCGGGTCAGCTCAGGAGGACGGGAATTGAGGGAGTATAAGTTGGAGAAAAATGTGATTCTATCCTAGAATTATTGTTAAGGATGAGAAACTTGTTGCTTGCCTTGAGATACAGTTTTACTGCCTCTTGTAGGTACTTGATCTTGGCTATTACGTACTGTAATCCATTGCTTTGGGGTTTTTTCAGTCTTCAAAAACAGCTTTACTTCAAAGTGCTTTTGCTTAACTTACTGAAATAACATCCTGTGAGAAAAACACCTGGCTGTTTGTATTCATTAATAATGGTATTGATGGTTTGTTTAGTAGTAACGTTCAGGTTGATTAGCACTGTTTATTCTTGTTTTCATGTTTACTGTGAAACATAAAATAAAGAAGTGCTGTCTTTAGAAGTGTTTCTGATACATGAATATTTAGTCTGAATAAGTATCATCAGTTGAAAAACAGCAAGGAAAAAATTTCCTTCTGTTAACAACATAAGTTTGTAGTGTTGTCTTCCCACCTGTCTTGCAGCTTTAGTTGACTGTAATTTGATTGGTAGTTGGTGCACAAAACTGTGCGAAAGCAGGAGGTAACTTGGGCTTGAACAGTTGTGTTCAAAAAGAGGACCTTTAGGCTGAAGGCTGTTCATATAGCACAGCTTTGTCTCTGAATATGGAGTGTGTTGACTTGCATACGCTAAAAAAATTGATTTTTTCAATTAGATCATTAGTCATCTGAATTCATGGGAATTAATTGAAAGCTCATGCGTCTTAATATTATTCAGAAAATGTTTTATTCTAGATCAACTCTTAAATCTGTTTTTAAGTTGTTATTCTTAAAATATTACATTTAAGCCATTCCAAATTAAATCTCAGTTCATCCTGAGATTTAAGATAGCTTTGCATGAATATAAACTCTTGAATTTAAGTTGGACTCTGGTTGTGTCTGAAACTGATGTTTCTTCTTTCAGGAAGAAAAAAATATAAGATGGGCATCAAGATGGGATTATATTTTGGAATCCATGCCTCACACTCATATTCAGTGGTTTAGGTGAGAAGAAAGTTTGTCTTCAAGCATACTGTACCAAAATATTTTAACATTGTGATGTGAATGATGACTCGCTGCTGTTTTTCAATCATTGCAGCATTATGAATTCCTTGGTGATTGTCCTTTTTCTGTCTGGAATGGTTGCTATGATTATGTTGAGGACTCTGCATAAAGATATTGCAAGATACAATCAGATGGATTCCACTGTAAGTCTGAAATGTACCTCCTCAAGTATATTTATAATGTAATTTCTTTCTAGTAGAAGTTATTTTGTGACATGTACGCAAGTGTGATTTACTGTATTAAAATAAATGGGTTTCCTTTACAGGAAGATGCGCAGGAGGAATTTGGCTGGAAGCTGGTTCATGGTGATATCTTCAGGCCCCCCAGAAAAGGAATGCTGTTGTCTGTTTTCCTAGGCTCTGGCACGCAGATCTTAATCATGACTTTTGTTACACTGTGTAAGTAATAAAATGGGAAGGAGTTGGTTCTGTAGAAACCATCTTTTCAGTGCTAATTGTGTGTAAAAATAGCAGTACGGTTTTGTCTACAAATGTCTTAAAGTCTTAAGATTAAAACCAGCTGAGCTGATACAGTAGACATACGAGTTTTTATCTTAAAGTCTAGGTACAGTAAGTGGTGTTAAGTCCAGTGTGTAATTAATTTCTTAAATTGTGCATCTCCTTCATAGTTTTCGCTTGCCTGGGATTTTTGTCACCTGCTAACCGGGGAGCTCTAATGACCTGTGCTGTAGTTTTGTGGGTACTGCTTGGAACTCCAGCAGGTTACGTTGCTGCCAGATTCTACAAATGTAAGTAAAAGTTATTTAAAATGACAAGGCTTAAGTTCATTAAAGTAAATTATCGTCATAGAACTGACTTTTATTTTATGGTACTGTTTGTAGTTTCCCTCAGGGCAAGATGGAGAAATGTATTTATCTTAACCACAGAAAATACGTATAGAATACTGACACGGTTAAACTGATTTTGGTGTGATCATGCTTAGAGACCCTGAATTGCTTTTGCTGCTATATACTTATGAAGTTAAGGGGGAAATTATTTTTACTAATGCTAATTACTTCTGACGATTTTGTACTTATCTTTTCCTATGGCTGGGGGAATGCGGACCCTTAACTTGCTTTTAGCTTTAGCTGTTGACATTGTTTGATAATACTTTTTTTTCCCAATAATGAACTCCTGTTCTTGCCTGAGATTAGTGGGAGAATAGTGCTTTTCAGACTGGATGTGGGGTGAATTAGCAGAGTTCTGTAGTTGCAGCGTCCCAGTGGTATTTGGACACCAGACAGTAAGTTAGTTGATACTGTTTCCTCCCCTTACCCTAACCAGCTATCATTTCAGGGCCTGTCCGCTGACCAGAGCTAGTTTGTACCTGGTTTATTTTATGATTAAGTGTGCCATTATATACAGCTTATGTTAATTACCCTACATGAGGTACAGGATTGTTTATGACTAAGCTTTTTTTTTTTTTTTGGACTGTTTGGACTATTATAATTCTGAAGATATAGTGCTAGAGAATTCATTTCTGATCTTGAACCTGGCAGTCAGCATTGGAGTTCTTCACTTTCTTCTGACCATTTTATAATTTTCCTGTGGGGCACCAACTGGACGAAGAGTCTTCGTTCTGAAGGGAGCTTTCCCACAGTGGTAGTGATGGCATTTTTGAATTTCTCTACATTCAACAGTGTTCTTGTTTTTTTATATCATGTTGGATATTTTGTATTTTTAGAGATATTTTGAAGTTTTTGATGGTGAACTGAATTCTGTAATTTTAGTGGAGGTGATAAGAATTATATTTCCTATTATATTTGTCTTGAGTTCAGTTGATACGTGATAGCTTAACTGAATATTTAAGACAGTGAATGATTACTCCAGAGATATTCTTGTTACAATGAATGGTGGCCCTTACCCTATGTAGAGCATGTCAACACTAATGTTTTTCCTTGCAGTGCCACTAAAATACTGAGAGACTTAAACAGCAAAATACAACTGAAACAGTTATCCAATTTTAAAATGTTTTTATAATGCTGCATTTAAAAAGTAAAGCCTGAGTTGAAAAGAACTGGTTAATATTAATTACCAGTGCTGTGTTCTACCAAGATTTTTTTGAAAGAACAGAAAAGTAATTAAAATCGTTCCAACCCTAATCACTGCTGAGTCTTAAAATTAATAAATAAATAAATGTGTCATTAGGGCACTGCTCAGCTGGAATTCCAGTGGGATATTTTCATTTGAAAGTACTCTGACTAGAATTTTTATCAGTATAGTACAAACTCTTAAGGATTTTTTTTTAATAAAGCTATCCTAGGTCTTTCGGTATCACCAGTGCTTAATGCCATTAAGATTTACAAGAAGGAGTGATGTTCTTTTAAGCACTTGTCCTAACTTGTAAAATTCTTAGACAAGAGTTATTTCAAGAAAACAGCTTAGCTCTTATTTCACATATTTATATAAATGTTTTACTAATGAAACCCGTGTTCAAAGGCTAGAAAACTTGAAATTCTTGATCAAAACTTTAACAGGTTTAAACTGTTTTTTAAAGACTTAAAAGTACTTCAGATCTTCTTCCTTAGATAAAGTGGTCAGAGGCCCAGTTTATTTACTTGAATATTTTTCTCATGGATCTGAGAGTTTTCTTTGCTCTGAATCTTTGTCATCAAGCAATATGATGAGGGAGTTTATTATTACTAGAGATTTATTTTACTGTTTGAAATTTGAGCATGATAGCACATTATTTGAGTATTTGCAAGCTAAGTGTAACAGCTAAATGGACTGGAAAATTAATAGTTGTGAGCTTAATGCACGTTTTGATGACTGTCAAATGTTTTAATATAGCATTTGGAGGTGAGAAATGGAAAACAAATGTCCTGCTGACATCATTCCTTTGTCCTGGGTGAGTTGAGAATATAGCCATGATTAAAAGAATTAAATTGCTTCTCTGACATGCATAGCTAATATTCTGGCTTCAGCTGTACAAGTAAATCTTATTACGTTGTCCCTTTGTTCCAGAAGCTATAAGAACATGGAGGTGCATTTGACAAAGATAACTGTGTTAGTGGCACATCATACTTAGTTGCTTTTTATCTAAGTTTTATGTTTACTTTTGCCATGTGAAAAAAACTGATTTAAGAAAGAGCAAAATTATACTATTAAGTTTCAGACGTACTTTCTTTTCCTCTCTATGCTGTCCTTCTGACCACACTGTAGTTGGCCTTACATGGTGTCATACACTGTATAACCACTGTGTTAAATTTTTCTACTTAATCACAGCAAGCAGTCTTACCCTGAAGCGTAGTTAAGACAAGCATATATTTGAAATTGCTTAGTTGGAATGTCAGCTCCTGCTGAAGTTCAATCCCACTGGATTACAAAAGAATCGCTAAGCTTGACCTCTTCATTTGGATATTTTTTGTGTCACTTGATTGTAGGAGATTTGCACTAAAATCCTTATACGGTTTTATTGTTTTGTTAAGACCTTTAAATATTGAGAAGTATTTCTATGCCCTAAGTGTGTGATGTGTTTTTCAGAATCGTGTTTGCGGATTTTTTTATCATGAATCTTATTCTCTGGGGAGAAGGCTCTTCTGCAGCTATTCCGTTTGGTACTTTGGTTGCTATTTTGGCACTCTGGTTTTGCATATCTGTTCCACTGACGTTTATTGGTGCCTATTTTGGCTTTAAGAAAAATGTAAGTATTTCTTGATATACAGTGTTGTTGTTTTTTAAAATATATGCATGGCTATGACTGAGATAGCACCTAATCTAGTTCATGTTGTCAACTCCAGTCCTGTTCTGTTTCTTTAAAACTGCATTATGTACCTGGTCTTGAAATTCCAAGACTTGGATATTAAGTTGTTGAGTTGTGGTGATATTTCTGATCAGGCTTATTGTTGTATTGGATTGAACGATTGTTCCAGGTAGTGCAGCGATCTACTGCATTCAGCTACTATTTCTCTCATTACCAGAAAATTCTGTTGACCAACCAAGTATAAAGGAAAGCAGCTTATGTGTTTTCTTTTGTTTTCCCCTGTGTATTTTGTTGCTGTTCTCTGTCTACAGAGTGAGACAAGAAGGGTATCATCTTCTGATCAAGTTGCAAGTTCTTGTGAAATCTCTTCACTTAAGTCTTCTGTAAATGATTATTGCTGCTTGGCAGACACTAAATGCATTAATTGGCATTTCCTCCTAAACTGACCAGTTTTCTTACTTACATGAGGGTTCTTTGTGACATGGGTGACCAAACCCTAAGCAGTGAAATCAGTGGTTTTCTTTTGCTTGAAAAGTGATTTACCGTGCCCCATAAGCTTAAAGATCTGTAAGATTGGCTAACTCTGTATTTTTCCCCACGTATAGGCAGCCTTCATTTCAGCTCTCTGTAGAGTTCGTGGAATGCCTTCAGAAAAATATTTGATTATACTGGAAGGCTTTGTAGGTCAATTGTAGTTATCCTATTCTACTTAACTGAAAGTTAGTGGATTTTTTTTCTCCTGCTAACCAGGTGGAAGTTCAAGCAGAAAAACCTTGTAAGTGAAAAAACCTGTACAGAGACAGTTCCTTGGGGGGGAAAAAGAAAAAAGGAAGGTTATGACAAGGTAGTGTGAACGGTGTCACAAATATGTTAAAACAAGAAAGCAAGTACTGAGCTGAAATTGTCGATTTTCTTGAAGTGATCTGTAAGAAAGGTGAAAGATGACAAAGTATGCGTTCATCTGCCTTAATTTTTCCTTTCCACCATGCTGATTTGTGCATGTAGCTTAATTAGACTTGAATTCAAGATTAAGGTGTATAAAAATTGCCAAATTTTACTCTGTAATTCGCTCTGTAAGTGTACCCTAATGTGATTCTTGGAGTAAATCCTGAAAAAGAATTTGCAGAGATTTCTAGAAGGAGAAACCAAGAGTGCAGCACCACCACTCCCAGGTCAAACAGTGAAAAATTTGTTCCAGCTACACAACAGATCATAGACAGTCATAAAAGAGGAGGCTCAAAATATCTGTTGCAGTATTTTTAGTAGGAGCTCTCTTTCAGCTGTTTTGCCTTGCAGATTTTGTTAGCTGAACTGGTAGGAAACGCACGTGTAATGGTAGATGAGCCTGTGTATATTCAGAATATATTAATAGACTTCCGCCAGCGCTCCTGTCAAAGAGAAAGCAAAATAAGTAGTGGTGTAGTTTGACTTGTTACTTATCTAGCAATGTCTTCGTTTTGTTTGAAGGCTATTGAACACCCTGTTCGCACAAATCAAATTCCTCGTCAGATTCCTGAGCAGTCGTTCTATACAAAGCCCTTACCTGGAATTATCATGGGAGGGATTCTGCCTTTTGGGTGCATCTTTATCCAGTTGTTCTTCATTCTGAACAGTATTTGGTATGTTAACCACAACCTAAATTTAACCTTCTGTGTCATAAAAGGTTGTAATTTCTATGTGAAAGTTTATTTGAGTTGCATTGACTGATTTTGACGGATACAGAATTACTAGAGTACTGGCTCAATAAAAATGTAAATGTTATTTTTTTTTTTTTTTAGCATTTTGTGGTTTAGAAGATACTCAGTGCCTGTGTTGCTTGCTGAGGTGTATGGAGAAGGGTCTGTGATAGGCATAGTAATTTACAGCCAGCCCACAATATTCAGACACTAGAACGACTCTGCTTTCTTGTGGAAGCTGCTCTAAAGTTGACATATATGCATATAACTTGAGAGTAGAAAGCATGTCATAAGTAAGCATGTGATCTGAGGGTGTTTATTGGTTCAGGTTTTTTACTGTTGGGGTAGAAAGCATGGCTACAAAGACTTCACAAAAATTGTTCTCCTTTCAAAGGCATCATGGAGTAATTCTGTTAAATATCAAAAATAATGCGGCTACTCCAGTTCAAGTGAATTTTGATGTGAGTTCATAGCACGCTGACAAACCAATCTACTGTAAGGATTTTGTCTTCCTCCTGGCACAGTTTAGTTACTGGATGTCTTTAAACTGTTTCTGAACCTTGAATAGGTGCTTCCACCCAGCATACACAGCTGAAGCATTTGACATTTCTTGTTATTTTGCAGCTCTGCCCCTTTGATTGAAATGTGAGGTGAAATCCAAGTTCTGCTGAAGAGGTCATGTTGACTTCACTGGAACTGTAATTTCACTCATTATGTGTAGTCAGTTTCTTCCCTGAAATCCCAAACACCAGCAGCATGCTTGGGACTCGCTTTCTCGCTGTTTTCAGACTGAGCTGTCAAGGCTCTTATTCTTGATGTAGAAAGCAAATTAGTTAATTGTATGGGCATGGAATTAATAGTGCCTCAGTGAGAAAGGAAATACCTTAAGGTGAAGGTGATATTACTGTGTACAAAGGAATAATATCAGTACAATGTCCATTTTAATTTTTTTGATTATTTTTTGAAAACTCTCTTCAATAGGTCTCACCAGATGTATTACATGTTTGGCTTCCTGTTTCTGGTATTCATTATTTTGGTTATCACATGTTCTGAGGCCACAATATTGCTCTGTTACTTCCATCTATGTGCAGAGGTAAGAAATACTCATCAGTATTCATACTTAGTACTGCTTTAAGGATGCTTCAGAAAATGTTGAAGGCTTCTATAATTGGAAGTAAGTATTAACAGAATTTGACATAAATACAGGTATTAAATATCCTTAAACCAAGACTTTAAGAAGTGAGTCAAGCTACTTCTGGCACAGCTTGTAAATAAATAAATAATAAATAAAACCCTGCACTGAGTCAGATATATCACCTTCAGAGTCTCGCTTCCTGGTTTCTGAATCCACTGATTTTGCTTAATGAGAGTGCATTCTTTCATCTGCCCAACCTGGGGTGTAAGGGGGGATAATTAAGAACCTCCATGGTTTACAATAGTAGATTGACTTACTTGTGTTGTTTGGGTGTTGTTTTTTTTTTTTTTGCCTACTTGATACAGATGCTTATCTCTAGCTCTGAATAATGTAGTTAAAGCACTGTTGATTTTATATATAGCTTTTCCGGTAGATCAAAGCTATGAAAGCTTACTTCTAGATAAAGCAATAGTAGAAGAAAGTTGGCCAGTAGCTTTGCGTTCAGTAGCAGAATCAGAGCATTACAGGTATATGCAATTTTACTCATATGTCTTTCTTTTCCCCCCCCCACTTCTAGGACTATCACTGGCAGTGGCGTTCATTTCTCACTAGTGGTTTTACTGCAGTTTATTTCCTAATATATGCAATACATTATTTTTTTTCTAAACTGCAAATCACAGGAACAGCTAGCACCATTTTATATTTTGGTTATACCATGATTATGGTTTTGATCTTCTTCCTTTTCACAGGTAAGTACTTTTGAACTTTGATTTTAAATGTTGAGTTTACCTTCAGCTCTCCATAGGAGAAGCCTTGGCAAACTTTATCTTGGTACAAGATTACAAATTTAATATATATCTATGATTTTTTTCTCTTGATTTGATTTTTTTTCTGAAACTTTGTAACACTTTTCCTGTTGCACTGAAGAAATGGCAGAGGAAGGGCAGAGAGACATTTTTTTGATACAGCGTTATTAGAGTTTTGTCATCTTTATTCTGAGTTTCTGGACAAGCATGTGTCTTAAGTGCTGTACTGCTCTTTGCTCATTAGTGAGATGAGGTGACAATCTTCCCTCTGTCATCATCTTCAATACTTGAAAGGAATTTCCAGTCAGGTATGCTTGTCCCTTGTTTAGGGTGGAGGATGCAGGAAGTCTCCTTTCCAATGTTCATGAAAAAAGTTACCACGTGGCAATTCCTCAAAACACTTAAAAATACTTAATTCTGTTCTAGCATTCCCTACAGAGTAGTATATTTTCTAAGCTGTTTTGAACTGATCAGTGCTTAAAATGATTTCAGGTTCCACCTTATGAAGGAAACCTAATGATTTCTAAAGCTTTGATGCAGTTTTATGCATACAACTTTGAAGGCTATATTTTGCAGCCTCCTAGAGCACAAATGGTTTGCCATCAGAGCTTTTAATAGAAATTCCATTAGAAGTAGAATTTTCAGTTCCACTGAACGCAGAGAAGAAAAAATGTTTAACTGGAGAAAATGAACATCACATTCATTTCAAAGAGCTTGCTATTTCAAAGCAGTTTGTGGTTCCTCATCTCCATTCAGTTGTGGACAGGAACAGGAATCTCCAAGGAGTTTCTTGGGTCACTGATGGTTGAAAAGAGAGAATGTGATGTTACCAAAAAACCTTTTTAAAAGCTCTGTCCCAATAGTGCTAGGCTTGCATCTGTGTCTTTTAAATAGTCAATTTAACTAATTTGGGCCTTGCTAGCATGTTTTGGAGGTTGCATATCATCTCTACTTTTATCTGTATTTTGTGTGATGATTAGCAAGCTGTTCTGAAGACACAGATCAGATTCTGTTTTCCTTCCTCGCTCTCTCTTATTGCTCTGACTTTCTCTTAACCTTTTGTTTCTGATCTTCTGATGGGTTTTACTCATAGTCTCACTGAAGTACAGAACTTAAGAATGCATGATTGTTTGACTTGGAACAAATGTACCCTGCCACTGTACAATGCTGATGCTCCTCGCCTGCATCAGAAATTGTGTAGCCAGCAGGACTTAAGGAAGTGATTGTCCTCTTGTATGCAGCACTGCTGAGATTACACACTGAGTTGCTTGAGGGTATGCAGAGAAGAATAGTAAAGCTGATGAAGGGACTGGAGAACAAGAGTTGTGAGGCTGAGAGAATTTGGGGGGTTAGGTCTGGAGAACAGGAGGCCAACGGAAGACCTCGTCCTTCTCTGCAGCTAATTGAAAGGACTCTGCACTGAGGAGGGTGTTGGTCTTTTTTCTCAGGTAACAAACAATAGGGCATGAGGAAATGACCTCTAGTTGTGCGGGGGGAGAATTAGGTTGGATGTTAGGAAGAGTTTCTTCATGGAAAGGGTGGCAAACATTGGAAGTGGCTGCCCAGGGAAGTGATGGAGCCCTGATCCCTGGAGGCACTGAAGAGATGTGGCACTAAGGGCAAGGCTTAGTGATGGGTCTTAGTTTGTCATATTGATAGACTTGCTGATTTCTTTTCCAACCTAATGATTCTATGATTTCACTTATATCAATGTTTAAACGTAGTGTATGCTTAAAGTCTCATGAAAAAAGTGAGACCTTATGTAAGTCTACAATCTTTAGTTTAGTTTCGTTACCTTTTCTAATAGATATTTGGTATGTTTGCCTTTAATTGTGGACACTTTGGGCCAAAGCCAGAATTGCATTTACAGAGAAAATAAAGGGGACCATTTTTTTCTGTGCTGAGACTTTTGTTTTAGCTGCTTTTCTGTACCTTCCACACATGATTTCCATCTTTCATTCAACCTTGTTCTCTCAAGCCAGTCATGTCAGATGGTGCCTTTAAAAGGTGTGCAGTGCACTCTTTTCCTTTGCTCACACATTCCCTTTCAGTTGATCACCACCAACTGGCTGTGCAGTGCCTGTCAGTGAATTTGGGAAATGCTTTTCAGGATATGTTCACAGGGACGCAAAGAATAAGTGATTTACTCTTAGACCTCTTCAGATGCTTTTCTGCAGTAGTCATTTGTATGTAATTGGGACAGTGGAGATGCAAGTCATGCTCTGTAATTCAGGCTTCCATTTGTGTGTTGAAATTAGGGGAGAATATAAGTAAAATTAACCGTAGGATTAGAACTTTGAAGAATCATATGCTTGATGGCTGTTTTTTTTGTGGTTTTTTTTTTAACTTCCCACAAGAGTAAGGGTGAATTACCCTGTATCTTAAGGGAGCAATTGTATTTCTGAACATATAATGTAATTCTGTCCATTTAGCTTGGTATGCTAGTATGTGTTCCGAGGCGGGCATTTCCAGTTCTCTGAGATTCACTGAGGCACTCAGAGATAAGGGTTTATAGAAAACATTAGATACATGTTCAAGGGGTTGTGAGTTCTCCAGATTTTTAAATGTAAAACCATACTAGCAATTTAGCAAAAACTGCTCCTAAAGGCAACTGACTTCTTGTGTCAGGATGATAAAGAAGCTAAAAAGAGAAAATCATAATTGTTGTATCAAAACTATTCTGCTGCTGCTTACTCATCTGTTAAAAATTGTCAGTATCAGGAAGGGTTCTGATGGTGCCCTGCTGCTATGTCAGCGTAACACATGCTTCAGGCACTTGCTTCCATACTGCATTCCAGGTCATTGATCAGACTCAGCAGGCAAAATACCGGGAGCTACATGACAAATCTTTGATTCACAGCTGGGACCGCAACTACGTATCATAGTCAATGAGTCAGTTAAACATCAGTAGTTTAGCAAGCGTGAAGAAAAAAATTACTGGGATATCATTCATGGTTCTTTACTAGCTTGTGTACGGAATGAGTTAGTATGCAGCTTCTGTTGTGCCTCTTAGCAAATCTTAAACAAAGGTGATATTTCAAAAGATGGCTTTATAAGAGGTATGCAGGCAAAAATCAGATAATTGTCACGGTTTTTTTCCTGTCCTACTTTTTGTGGGAGGTGAAGGTTCTGTAACAGCTGTTCTGAGCTGCTTTTAAGTGCAGTATCGTTCTGACTGAAGCTGTGCTTTAGAGCAAAACAGTTTTAACAGAAATATTCTTTTGCATGCAAACTAGTCGATACGTTTGGGCTTTGCCAATCTGTCTGTTGGAGCTTCATAAAAAGATTTTCCTTTTTTTAAGGGAAACAGTCCTTGTCGTTAAATTTCAGCTCAGGTTTGTTTATGCCTTTTGACTGCCTAGCGTATTTCAGAAGCATTAATTTTTATGGTACATAGCACATTTGTGGTAGGAAACACAAGTTGCTTAGTAACTGCACTTGAAATTCTTATTGACTTCATCTGAGCAAGAATAGCGCTCTAATTTCCCGAGACCTTAAAGTACAACTAAGATAGGTGAACTTCTTTTGATGCTATTAATCTAATTGATTTGTTAAATCAAGTTTTCTAACATCTGAGCAGACTGGGTAGAGTGTGCCAGACTGGTAGCTGAGGTGGGTGTAATGGAGCAATATGAAGGAGCTGGCCTGGGGAATCATGAAAGCAACAAGGAAAACAAGTGGTAGGAAAAGAAATGATGCAACTTAAAATGAGTTCTACATGACATCTTTCTGATTGTGAAAATTGGGTACATACAGATTAGTTGATGCCTGTAAAGGCCGGGTTCCATCTCTAAGTTTATCTGATCTGATGGGTACACTGAAGACTACAGATAGCAGATTGCATACATAATTTGAAATTAACGTCTACTGCGTGACTTCTCCTAATGTGTAACCTTTCTTTTATTTCTTAGGGACAATTGGATTCTTTGCATGCTTTTGGTTTGTAACCAAAATCTACAGTGTGGTGAAAGTTGACTGAAAAAAAAAACAATGTAAAGAATTAACACGGAAGAGGTTAAATCTTCATGAACATAACTTAAAGACCTGATCTACGTGATGAACTTGAGCTTTATCAGAAGTGTTGGCTTTCTGTTCTTTGAGAATGATACTGAATATGCAGCTGCCCCAAACACTTTTTTCCACTAACACGTTTGTATTGTGACTTAACAACCTGTTTTCATGCAGATCTCAATGAAGATCAGAGTTACAATATTTATGCATTTGTAAATACAACGATACCTTAAAATAAACGTTAAATTCTAATGGCAGAATAGAACCGGCTGTATTACACAACTTAATGATACTTCTGATTAAAGTACAATTGTAAATAGGATTTTCTAGCTTGGTAGGTGGGATGAATTATTTTTCTTTGAGGGAAATGAGAACTTTTTATTATGCTAACTTTGAAGGATGACTCTTAAGAAGTGTCGCTTTTAGTTTGGATGTGATTTTTATTTTTTACTGGTATTATGTCCACAAATATTCTGATTTCTGTGACTTCATTAGTTTCAGTGTTCTTGGCCTTTTAAACTATGTGCCTCTGAGTCCTTGAATTTATAAATTCATAATCTAATAAATATTGTAAAAATGTCTTCAGTGGGTCATTAGCTGTTAAAAAATTCATTCACTGAATCTGTAAATACAGTTATATGAGAGAGGTATGCATAAAGATTGCACAGAGCATTTGATGGCATTTTCTGCAACGTTCTGTATGTTGACACACCTTTAGATCTGCAGTACGTGTTAGTTGTGTCACACGGCTCTAACACTGCCGTTGTGTGGTTGTGGCACGAGAATGAAATGATGCACACACTTAGCAAAGACACTCTGCAGCATTCAGCCAGTCCTTAGCCCAGGTTCTTGTTCAGGAATTGCTATGGAATGGCCAGTATGGTGAGATCTTAATGCATGAGTCAGCATTCTCTACTGCTCCTGCTTTTGAAAGTTCTTGATGAAGCATATGGCAACTATTGCTGACTGTACTTAGTGTACATTTAAAAAAAAAAAAAGCCAATTCCTATTTTTGCCTTATACTAAGAGACTACTGTCAATTTCAGGTGACTAGCATTTAACTGATATTTGCTTTTTTGAAAATGGAGCATTATATTCATATGTTGTTCAGTAACTTAGATTCAAAACACAATTTGGCATTTGGCTTTTGGTAATTTTTTTTTCACAAACCTGATAAAATCTTACTTCAAATCAATCTTCATGTACCGTTTGTCATTCATAAGGTTGGTTGTTTTTTTTTTTTATCCTTATTGATTTGCTTTTCTAAAAAGACCTTAACCTAGTGATGCTTGAATACTGAACCCAATAAAAATATCTTTGGTTAAGGTACTTTGTCATTATTAACCTCCTGGAAGCTGCCATGTAAGAATATTTCAGATAACATCTCCTGAACTATTGTGCTACACATCCCTGCTAGATGAACCACACCTCTCATGTTCTGCATATCTCCAACCACAGCTGTGTTCAGATGCTGTGGACAGAATTGTTTTCATGCCCCTCCCTGCACGCAATCACTAGGAAATGCTGATTTCAGATAACTCTTCCATGTTTTATGTTCAAAACAGGAAAGGGTGAGTGGTTGTACTTTACAAATGCCATGAGCTGCAGTGTGACTTGATTTAAATTTCTAGGAAGTATATCACTGAATATTCTTAATATCCTTGCTTCTGTGGTTGCATTCTATGTATATCTGTGGTTCAAATCATCAATAGTTACACAACTGTGAATGTTTAGTTTGAGAAATGTGAATCATGATAGGGCAATACAAATGCAGTAGGTGCTCAGTAATGTCAGTGTAGTGATATGAAAACAGAGATTTTAAAGAGAGATTTGCAATTGCTGATTAAGATTAGCAGAGGTAGGATGTAGCTATTACGATCTGTATGCAGGTTTGCAACTGGTGCTTTGCCATTTTTTTCCCTCAAGTAGACAAATAGTGGTGGATTCTTACCTTTGTGGTATTTCATTATTTTCTGGAATCTAAACCTACAAGCAAATTTTTCCAAGCAGATTGGCCTTATAGTATCTGGTGCATAATTGGGAATGGTTAAGTTTCAGTGTGCAGAGATCTGGGAAGTTTATTACATCGTAGCTTTTATAGCAGAACTATTCTGAAGTTGTCTCAACCCTTGGAACTCATCTATACCTCACATTTTGTTAGTTTTCTAGTGTTGAGTGTTCTTGTGTAGAGCAGGGCATTAAATGCTCTGTGTGCAGCGTATCTGTGATTCAGATCTCTTAGGAGACCTGGAGATTTGGTCTTGGCTTTCAGAAATGCCTCTTCTTATCAGAACATATTGCAACTTAAGTATTTTTCTGCAGGACAAAAGATTACTTGTGCAGAAATGATCTAGTCTTCACCCAAATACACTGCTTCCTACAAGTTACCTCCAGTGTAACCTTTATTCTCTGCCCTGCTCTTTCTCCTCATTCCCAATATCTAATGGATCTCCGTAAAGCTGACTGCTGAAATCATTCTCCTATTACCTCATATATCAACTTTGGGTATGCGTGTACTTAAGTGCATGACACTTTGGATTTCAGATACTTGAAGCATAGATCTGGAGGGGCTACAGGAAAGCTTAATTCATTGTTTGGTTACTGTATAACTGCCGTCATGGGTTTCCTTTGCTTTTATTTGAAGCATCTGGAAATCCCTGTTGGTAAGATGGGAGTAGTGTTAATCTGTTTGTTAATCAGACATACCAGGAGATGACAAATCAAACTTGCCATGTTTGGATGACGGCACGTTCCTGCAGCTTCCTGGGCTTCCGACACTTCTGAAAGTGCAGTCTAAATTCTTCCTTCCCTGAGAGGGATTTTAGCATCACCTACTGGCCACAGCACATATAACCTTAAAGTATGGGAGCAGAGTTAAGGGTATGATGGGACTTTTACCAAACCACACTCTTGGAGGAGTGAAGACATGAAATATATTGACATATAGTTAATTATGTATGCTATTTTCAAGTTCATCAACGATCAAGAATAAAGAACAGTTAACATTAGCCATTCATGTAAGTTTTCTGTGAAGATGTTAAAGGTGTCTCATGCACCTATTGCTGTCATATGCCTGGAAAAGGTCCTATAGAGTGAACTGTATTTCAGATATACAGTCTTCCTTTATAAGAATCAGTTCTTCTCATCCAGATACCTTTGATGTCTTCAGATGTTTGTTTTTTTTTTTAAGTTCACTAAAAAAGGTGTGTTTCAGACAGGGCCATCAAGTCAAAATAGTCGATTGATTTTCTTCTCTATTTTTGGAAAAAATATTTTTTGAGAAAACACACTCTATTTTTCCTATCTTTTCACGCCTAGCTTTTAATTTGTTCAAAAATAACTCCTGAAATGAGGTACTTACAATCACAGAACAGCCTGACTTGACTTGAGGAAGAAATGCACTAATGACCTCCCAGCATAGTGGGCACATGCAAGTCCAGCCTCTGCTTACCCCTGCCTTTGTTGCAGCAGCATCACGAGGAGCAAGCTTATCATTTCTGGAGCACCATAAGGTAGAACCATAGAATCACCATGGTTGGAAAAGACCTCCAAGGTCATCCAGTCCACCTACCACCAATATAACCCCACTAGACCATGTCCTTCAGTACAACTTGTAAACATTTCTTGAGCTCTTCCAGGAACGGTGACTCCACCACCTCCCTGGGCAGCCTGCACCAGTGCTTCACCACTCCTTTGGAGAAGAAACTTTTCCTATTATCCAATCTGAGATGTGACCAAGGAAGCTGGTGAGTTGGCATGGAAGCCCACTCTCTCTGTGTCCCAAGGCCACAAGAGACCATGGAGTTGTGACATTTCTTCTCTAGCCTTGCTTAGGAGCTCCAAAATGGAGCAAACAGATGTCAGTCCTGTTTTCTACTTCTCTACAGGGCTCTGCTCAGATCCCGTTTATCCCAGAAAGCAGAGTGATAGCAGTAGCTTTGGACAGAAACTGTAGAGAGAAATAAAGGGGTTTTCCTTTTGTCAGGGAGGATGATATCCAGACCCAGGGGGCAAAGTCCAGATAAAGAATTGATTCCTGTACCAGGAAAATACTGGTTTGTCAAAACCAAGTTTGTTCTGTTACACAATGACCAGTTTCAAGCAGAGATAGTGGTTTAGGGTTTGTTTGTTTGTTTGTCGTGGAAGATATTTTTTACAGTCAGATCAGAATTTCAGAAGAAAGCAAGACAGGCAGACAAGTTTAGGCAGATTAGAAATGTGTTTCTAAATCCCCCAGAGATTTTCTTGACCACTGGATTATTTTAGGGTGAAATACATCTATCTGTTTGTCTTTGAAACAGGTTTACAGACTGAGATTTTTGAAGGCAGTTTTTGCACAGAATGGGGCAGAAGTTGAATCTCAATGTTCTGTTGGACAAGAAGCTGTTTCCTGGCTAACTTCATACCTGACACTTAGGAGGACTGCTGGTAAAATAACCTGAGCAGAACATCTACCCTGTAATTTAATGCAGGAATGCACTTCTGCATACTGTAACGCCAGTCCCAGCGCACAATGTCCAAACAAATATCCAGTGGAATTCTCTACAGAGACACTTCTTATTGCTGTGAAGGACCAGAAAGTGGGAACTGTAGCCTTGGAGTCCTCGAAAACGGAAATTACGTGAAAAATGTTAGAGTTATGCAGTAGATGAAAGTGAAGAAAAATACTTTCTTTCATTCCTAATCAAATTTGCATCTCACGGCCTGAGCACAGAGAAGGCAGCAACACTACTAGGTCCTACCCAGAATATTGCAGAAATCCAAATAAGTTACAGCCAGTCATAGCACTGGAAAATGCTCATGGGACAGCAAATAATTACGCTGTTAAAAAGTTTACGGAGTAATGGAAGAGTTCCATTTACAGAACTTAAGCTCTGACAAAGAGAGAGCAATGAGGTGCTGGAACAGGCTGCCCAGAGAGGCTGTGGATGCCCTGTCCTTGGAGGTGTTCAAGGCCAGGTTGGATGGGGCCCTGGGCAATTTGATCTAGCACAAGCCAGAGGTCTCAGTTTGTGTGGAGATGTGTTCCAGCCTTTCACCTTTATGTGTGTGTAGGCTGCCCCTACGTATCCAAACACCACGATGGTTCATCATGCCAACTGTCATCTGTGGGCTATGCAGGAGGCAGCCATAGAGTCCGTAACTCACAGCAGCACTAAAGAGAAACCACAGCATTAAAATTAAAGAGGAGATGAAAGCTGTGCTGCAAAAGGATTATCCAGGGTCCTGTCCGTGCTGAAAGTACCACATGGCCTTCCTCACAAAATATTGGTGCACAGCAGTGGACGCCCCTGTGGTAAATCTCTGGCCAGGAGCCTCTTCTTAGAAATGCTGCTGCTGGATGTTTCTCCTGAGCCATATCAGTATTTCCCAAGATCACACTTTTGAAGAATATGTGCTGTCCTCATCAATGGGGATGGCTTGCCACGTGGTGTGTATCTGCTGGCCAAAATTATGTGTAATTTTTACTTTCAGTTTAACTTAGGTTTAATTGTCTCGCTTTAAGCCTCTTGCACTAACACTAAGCTGCTTTTGTTTTTACTTTGGATCCAATAATTTTAATGTTTCCTCCATATGGCA